ATGAGGTTGTATTGAAAGCTGTTGACTGGAGTAAACACTTACATTTTCTAAACAATCAAACAAAAACAGGCAGGTTCAAAAGATTGTTATACACTGGGTCTTAATTAGGTGTGAGGATTCCCCCAACCCATGGTTCCCTAATATTCAGGGCTGCTTTCTTTTCAGAGAGGGTGCAGTTTTTGTTTTAGGAGCAGTGGCCCCTGGAAACTTTGAGCCCTACCTCTTTTCCTGTTTTAATTGTTCCAATTTGAAAGCAAAAGTCAGTCTAACCCAGGGGTCTACAAACTGCGGCTCTTTGGGTATGTACATGTCTCTCTGAAGTAACATTGAAAGTGAAGATAAAACTATCATAGTTTCATTTATAAAATTTTAAAAGATATTATTCACATGGTGATTTCATTTGTTTTATGGCTCTCGAATAATTTTTATTGTTGTGAGGGACAGGATTGGCTCTTCCATCTCAAAAGTTTGCCGACCTCTGGTCCAACCTGTCTATCAAATCCCAATTATTGCAACTTTCTTCTAATTCACTGTGTAGTTTCATAACATCATAGTGAGTTCCTGTTGAATTTAATCATATTAATTATTTTTAATTTTACATCTCATGTACTTGAATATTTAACTTCATGAAACACAAATTTTAGTCATAAGACCTAGGAATATAATTTTTGAAAAGGAATAAAATAGCAAAATATTAAATACAAAAGCACCTCATACTTAAATCACTGTTCATTTTTATCTCTTGCAGAAAATTACGCTTAATTGATACAGAAGAATTTCACAATCGCCAGGAGGCATTAGAGCTGTCAAATTTTCAGACCATTGTCATGAGACACATGGAAACTGCCAAAGAGACTCTACTGAAAATGTAAAGTTTTAAATTTCATGTAGGAAAACATAAATTTAAAAATGATCGGTGGGCACTGCGTTTCAGCTGCTTTTAGAAAATCCCATTTTAACAAGTTGTAATCATTTCTGTGTAAGAGTTAAATATGTTGCCCTTAACTGCCTTGGTCTGTAATGCCTGTCCAGATGTTCTACAGCGTAGATGTCTAGTTCAGCAACTAAAATGACTATAATTAATGGTTCCTTTTTTCTTTAATGTCTGGTATCTACCTTGGCTCTGAGAGTGGGACTGGATACTGTGGGGGAATGATCAAAACTAGTTACTTGCCGGATATTTATTTTACATCTACTATTAATACATGCAAGTTGCTGTACCTTTTTCATTTTGTTTTTGGATGAAGGATGCAGAAGAGTTTAAAGAAAGATCAGGTGGGGAAAATACGTTT